CAGTCTCCTTATTCTGTGCTTTCATAACTCTGTTCTTGATATGGTGTGGAAGAGCAAAGAAGAGCCTCCCTTTAGCGAAAAGCTCAGAGGGACTGACTAACATATCATTGCTCTGCAATTAATAGCTAAGATCAATAGTTTCTGAGTAATTCTTTTTCTGGCACTGTGGTCAGTGATCTTTCTGTGTGTTACAGTTCACATCTTCAGTTACAGCTACTGTTTTATGCATCATTGTTTTTCTCTTTGTACACCTGTGTCTTGTAGCTACCAATGGGATAACTTACAGAAACAGTTTGAACATCTTCCCCTGGCTATGGAGGAAAGAAGAATAGTGGATGCACTCACATTAGCTTGGCAGCAGCCTCTATCTTCTCCATTGCTTGCTGCTTTTGCAGCTGGCTTTTTGTTTTGTTGAATGTGACTGGATATTTTTCCATTAAAATAACTAATAAATTCAGTGTTAAGTGAGAATGAGTCCAAGTACTGAATTTGGAACTGAACTCTTGATTAGAATTGTTTATGAATGCTTTAACAGCTCTGTCTTATCCAAATCCATACAAAGTGCAGACGTGTATGCAGAAGTTGTACTTCAGGCTGTTGAGTTTGGCTTTTAGTTGCAGTTGCTGATCAAGTAAGTACCTACATGTGTCTAACACAGTGTCTTGGGAGTAGAGGCTGTGTTACAGTGAGGCAGTTCTGTCCACCTTCACCAGTAGCCTTCTTCTAAGAGGTTACCTTCCGAGCTCTCCCCCTCTCCTCCCTCAAGATGAATGTGATAATTCTGTTAGTTTATATTTTACCAATTAGATTGCAATTGGTAGTTGCAGAATTGATTGCTTTGTAGCCTTGGCTTAGGCAAGGGTAGAATTTCTGCTCAGAGCCTATCTTAGGTATCTCAGAATAGCTCTATCACATGGCTTGGCATCTGATCTGAAGTGTGGGAGATCCAAAGTCTTTGCTCTGTCTGAATCACAGCAGGGAATGGGCCATCAGTTTCTTAAATCCCTGTGAGTGTATGCATTAAGTCTTCAGTTGCTGTCTTTCTTCCTTTCACACAGTGTATATTTGTTTTTGTCACTTAGAAAAAGAGGGACTGGTACACTACATAGCATACAGATTGCCTGGGAGATTAGATTCAAATTTAGGGTTAAATTGGGAAAAGCAGATGGTTCTTCAGGGAATGAGTCTCTGCTGATTTTCAGATGACTTAGGTTTTGACCTGATGTGGAACTTGAATGCTCACACCAGCTTTCTTTTTACTCTAAATGGCAAAACATTTTTCTGCTTCCATCTGTGCCACGTGCTTTTAATCTGGATTTCTAACACACCAGTTTGGGATGATTTTTGAATTTGTGGGTTTTGGCTGGTAACTAGTGCTGAAATTCAGACTGATACCCTGTGCTAAAGCCCATCTTTGTTAAACGCTTGGCCAACAGAGTTCTGATACGAAGGCTGTGTGTATACTTTCATTTAAGATAATATGATTCATATTCAATCTGTATTAGCAATAACAAAAGCCATGACATCTTTGCTGTTTATATACACATTATACTTGTGGTGGAAAAAAAGGCATTTTCACAAACATCAGGTGTGTGAAGATCAGTTCATCTTACAAGAAAATTGTACACTTGGTAAGGGCAGAAATCAAACTTTCCTGTAAACTTTCCTCCAGAAATGGGCTACCTCAGCACACCAGTAAAATATGGATGTGAAAGTTCTCTCAGCTTTCCCAAGGAGAATGTGCCTCCAGGTGTCTCCAAAAAGTTGTATCAGGTGCTGGGGCTAAGGTGAAATTCTGCTTATGTGTGTGTTTTCAGTCCAACTAAGTAGTGAACAAATACATTTTACCCGATACAGAATCATGCAGTATGGCTTCATGGACTTGTCAAGGGGTAAATGGGCAGTGGAGACCTTTCATGTGCTCTATATCAGTTCCTTGATCCCTGACTCCCCAGGTGCTGCTTGTCTATTAAGATTAAAAGACACGGTACTTGATAATTCCTAAATGCTTTGCCACCCAAGTATCTGGGATTATCTGTAAGGATCTAAAAAAGTATAGTCATTAAATCCCAAACCAGCAGAGAGATATGAAGAAAGGGGACTCCATAAGTACCCCTGGAAAATAGAAATATTGGATTAGTTTCTTTCCAAGTGAGTTTGGAGGCTGAGTCGCAGGATATGAATACAGCATTGGGAACGTTCCCGGATCTTTTCCACAATCCTTTTAATGTGGTCACGGATTCCTGCCTATGAGTGAAAATAAATAACTTCAGTGAGTGTCGAAAACATGGAGACTTTTAAATTTGTTTGGAAAAAGCATCAGGGCATGCAATGGTTTTTTTTTGTGTCTGTGCTAATTAGTGATGACACAGCATCAAGATGGCAGAGAATGAATCATTTGGATGTTCATGAAACAACATATTTTAATGTCAGTAACATGTGGCTTTGGGGAATTCTTGAAGTAATAGAATAAGGATCCAAGGAGTATCTTTGATGAAACAGATTTAAGGGGACAGTTATTCTTAATCTTGTTTCTTTTCTGATTAACACTAATAGCCATTCTACTCCTATTGCTTCTTGATGATAGTCACATGCTTTAACAGTACATTATGGCTTTTATTATCAACATGATCAGGCTGAACGACCTTTGCACTAAGCTATAGAGCACCTTTGCATTCACATGTAAAGTTAAATTGGATGGGAGCAGCAGCCACATAGCATCCAGGAGCTAAACCTGAGCGGTCAGGAACAGACATCCAAAGGTTGTACGTGCTATGTTAAAAAGATGTAATTGGGACATTTCTTTCTCGAACTCAATAGAAATCCAGGAAGCTTTAGAAGCTTTTGAAGAACTTAACTAAGAGAAGACAGATTCTTTGTCTGATCCAAAACTAAACAAAATTTTGCCTTTTTTGTACTTACCCAATTGCATCTTAGTTTCTGGAATTCAGATTCTATTGCAGTCAGTTTCTGGACTTGTAAGATTTTGGTTTGATGTCACGCAGTATCTGAATTCAGTTGTAGAGCCAAATAGTATTTCTTAAAATGGAATTATCCTTTCTCTTAGTTCAGCAATTCTTGATACTGCATGTAATTAATATTTTGCTCCAGATAACTGATGGCACCTTCTAAAATGCAGATGATTTAAATTGTCATGTTAGTTATTGACAATTTAATGAAGAATCGAAAAACCAAAGCTTTGTCAAGAAAAGCATAATCACAAAGCTACTAGAACATTTGGTAAAGTACTTTGGCCTTCTGCTCAGCTGTGTAGCACTGGTTCTTACTGGGTTTTTGGGGGAGTAGAGGGGAAGACTTGGAGTTGCCATTGATAAAGCTTATGCTATTGAGACGCTATTAGCATTTAATACTTTTACTTGTCTGAAGAATCATCTGCCTCACAAATCTTGTACAAGAGACTTGGCCTGAACTTATGGAGAGTAGAGGAAAAAGGTAGGAACTGAAAGCTAGAAGACAAGAAGGCAGATTAATCCTTCAAATTTCTTGAGTAGAGATGAAGACCCACATAGTTTCCCACCTCATGTCCTTCTGAAATACCTCTCCAGCTCTGCTTTGGCCTGCTGGGAGCTACTGTTGACCTAACTTGTGTTCTTGCTGAGGCTGTGCCATCTAGCAGAGCTTCATGGCCAAAAGACCCCACCTAGGATTTGTTTCTAGTACAACACCTGCTCTTAAGTGCGAACACTTCTCACTGTTTCAGTTATTTAAAAAGCTGGTGGAGATTTTCAGTGGAATCTTATCCTCCTCTGGAAGTCTGATTTGTGAACCTTGTGATCAGCAGCACTGACTTGTTTGGTTTTGATATTCTGTAGTTATTTGAATGTAGTGAGGCCAGAGGTGGCATTGTGTTGCAGGACAATGATGCTCGCTCTTTATGTCACACTGGAATATAAAGTCACTTTTGGGGAAACTTTTCTCACATTTGTCATCATCTGATACCTGTGGAAGTGTGGAGATTGTTTTTAAGAATATGCACTCTATCATAAGCTGAACTCAGACTGAGCCTTGGAGAGCGAAACAAAGGAGAAAGCCTGGCCCAGATGATGTGACCAGCATCTTGTAATGGACCACTAGCTCTCTGCAGAGTATAGTGTTGGGAACTCTCTGTAAATGATCTATCTTGATGGAAGAGTAGTTCAGGAGTTTGGAAATAGCACATGGTTATCAGGAGCTTGTACAGATCATACTCTTAATTGGAGGGTTTTCCTGTAAGTGTCTTCAGTTATTCCCTCAGCTGAGGAAATAATGTTGAACCCCTTCAAATGGGAACTTGGGCATTCATAGTGCTTTGTGTGGTGTTGTGCGTTCAAGGAAATTTTGAGGAGGGGCAGAGTTTGCAAAGATAAGCTTCTGTTAATTGTTCATGTGAATTCCTGGGCACGCTGTGGTGGCAGTTGTGGGCTATAGTGTGGATTTAGAGCTAACTGTTACTGGTTAATCCAGGCAGTTGATTGCTCCTGAGTATCCCAGCTGTGGAAAAAAGCTTCACTGAAAGTTTACAGGTTCTTAAATGCTTCAGTCATGCTTCAGTCATGTTGAATATATTCAAAAGCTTTGTTTTTGTGTTCACAGAGCTGTTTTCTTCTTATAATTAAAAAATACTAAATTTAAAATGATTCATTTTAGGAAGTGAGGAATTCTTCAAGTATATATGCCTTGAGAAAGTTGTCTGTTAACTTTGAGACTTCTCTGGCATTGAGCAGCTGAAGAGGAACTGAGAGAGCCGATGTTACTGATCTGAAACATGTGCCTCCATGAACTCTGCATGGGAAACTTTTCTTACCATCAGTGTGTGGTGGAAAAGTCTCGGTTCTTGAGGCAGTAAATCACTGCAAAGTGAGCAGAGCAGACTGGATGATCAGAATATTTGGTTTGGAAAAACTCATTTTTACATAGATGTCAGGTCTTTTAAATGGCATTAAAATAAGGACATCATGCCTGGCCTCTAATATCTGTATTTCTAATAACTGTTTTGTTAGAACCTGCAAGAATCATGCTGGGAGAAGGCAGGCCACTTCTTTGATCTTCCAGATTTCTTATCTTGGAAAGCCACAGGTGTCACTGCAAGGTATGTTAATTACAACAGTATGATTTGGTGGTCTTTGTCTAGTTGCTTGTATGTGTTTCTGCTTTAATGTATTTTGACTGGACACACTGTGATGTACATCTGTCTGTAATTCAGCCTGCTCCAAAACATCTTGAACCTATCTCCTGCTTCCATCGTGCATTCCTGAACACAGTTGTTCCTGTGAGCAGTGTAATTCACAGATACTCTATGTTGCTACAACTGTCAGTTAATTGCTCTTGTACTCCATTTTGGAACATAAATACAATTGCTGTAGTTACTGTGAAATATGCTTTTAATAATTCTTTGAAGTCTATTTTTGTTGACAAATTTCTTGACTTTTTTGAGTATTGGAGGAAAACACTTTGCTATGTGGGAGGGATCTGGTAAAATCTTGTTTAAAATGGTCACTGCACTGTAAAACACAGCATCTGTGCTGCTCTAAGAAAGCATCCTAGAATACTTGCTACAGTCTCAAAATTGCTATGAGAGAACCCCTTCAATTGATAAAAGTGACCAGTAAGTGAAGTGCATTTGCAACTAAACAAATCCTTGTGAAAAGTGAGGTTTCGTTTGTTGAAAATCAAGTCTTACGGACCACTTGCATGCCCAGCTCAGTGCAGTTCACAGTTATTTCCATTCCAGTCCGTGGAGCTGAAGCTGTGCAAAAATTAGGCTAAAAAGAAAATTGCTCACAGGATGGTTTTAGTCTCTTTGGAAATGGAAGGTACCTTCATATCAGACACAGTTCTTTTTATTTGAGTGCTCTTTCTCCTTAGTTAGTCTCCATGATTGACAGCTACTGTTAGCTAGCTTGCATTGTAGAGCAGGGCCGTGCTATGTTTGAAAAGTGAAGAGATGCAAAGACCTGTAAGTCTTTACATCTCTTGCAAAGATGAAGAGGTGCAAAGACCTGCTCGATGATAATTGAAAGACAGTATCTCAAAACTTCCTTCCTTTGGACTTCCAGTCAGAGCCTGTTGTCTGATGTATAACTATGAACTGGGTTACAGACAAACAACTCTCACCCCAAAACAGTCCTGTTACCTGACCCAACTCTAACTTTAAGAGGATAAATCCCAGGCTCCCAGATGAAATGCCATGCAGGGTCTCCATCTTGTGAAAGTATTCAAGACTTTGATTTAGAGTTAGCACCCTTTGGTCAGGAGGTTTTAATTTGGCTTTGTGGCCAGATGATGATTAATAGATGGGATAAAGTGTGTGAGCAAATCATTAAATGTTCACCTTGTGTTAATGGACACCTTCTCCTAGTGGCTGAGGAAGCTAAAATAGAATATGCTCAATGAGAGCTTGGTGTCAAATATGAGTTGGAATCTATCTTTTAAAGCAGGTGAAGTAGTTTCAGAGAGAATGATAATATATTTGAAAGGGATCTCCAGTATTGCTGAACAGAGTTCCTGCTCTTCCCAGAGCCCTCCCTGCCCCATAGCACGTTCCTTTTTAATAGTGGCACCCATACTGTAGAAAAGAAATCCCTTTCTCTGCTCTTCCCTCCCTCCATCTTTCTTGGCCTCCAACCTGGTGTAGCTAGTAGTAATATTTGTCCATCTGTTTGCTGCATGTACCTCTCAGTGGCTGTAATTTCTGTGAGGTCTTTGGGGAAGAGAAGGTATTTCTTGGGTGTGTTATAGGTGCCCAGTACTGGAGGACCCCAGTTCCTCTAGAGAACTTCTGTTGCAATAAATACTGCTAGTAACAGTGAAAGAGCAAACTGATCTTAGGAACTGATGATTGTATTCTCTAGTGCTCATCTAACCTTTGTAGGAGTAGAGTCTGAATTCCTGAATTAAAATTATCAGCCTCCTCTACAACCTCTGTATGCAACCAAAATGTATGGCAGAAGGTTTAAAAGGAAGTTAGGAGAGGGGGTATGTTGGAGCTTAGAGTATGATAATAGAGTTCCTGTCTCCTGTCCCTCATAATTTAGAAGGCAGCAGTCCTATTTATGGGTGTGGGGAAGGGAGGAGAAGGAAGGGGTAAGAGTAATGCCATGGACTTCATGTAGTGGTGCTGTCAGCTGGTGTCAGGCTGTCATGGCTTGTGATGGACTTTGGGACTGTCTAAACTCAGTGAAGCTCACGTTTGCTCTGGAAGTAGGTCTGAGAAGGGAGGGTACAATGGTAGTAACAGCTCCTTGGTCTTGCCTGGCTTTGGCTTTTTGTCCTTAGCTGTAACTTGCTAGAGGCAAGGCAGAGAATCTGTCTTAAAAAGAAATTTTTAATCGTATTGATGGATGTTGGGAAAAGACTTTCTGGACAAGCTTCCCCCACCCTTTGGTTGAGTGTCTTCTGTTTTGAATAAAATAGTTCCTTGCACATCCTACTTTGCTTCCTTTAATGTGCTCCCCACAATTAAGCCCTTAGCTTTGGCTTTAGTGGAATGTTTTCTAGGGTAACAAAGGAGGATAATAAGGACAAGAAATATTTTGTTGGCATCAAACCTATTTTCTTTTCCTTCCCCTGCTCTCCTGCATGCAGACCTATTTCTTGGGAATTCTCTTGTAGTTAGGTGAAGTAATTTGACCTCCATATACTTACAAAACTGGGGAAGTGTGAATTCATCAAGTATAAGATTCCTACCTTTCTCCCATTGAGCACAAAGGAGCCTTTCACAGGGCAGGACACAGTGTTAGTCACTGTGAATCATTCATAACTTGGCCCTGATAAATGAAAGATTTAGTTTATTAAATTTGTTTTGGTGATGGGGATTTTACCAAAACAAATGCAATTCCAAGGACACTTCTGCCCACATTGAAACTGTTAGTTACTCTTACTTCTTTATATTTCTAAGGGTCTCTTTAAAACAGTTTGTATCTATTTGACATTTAAAATCAATGTATAGTCTTTCTGGCTTCTGGGAGACTACTCAGTGCACAAAGAAGTGTCTAAGATCAGGATCTTAAGTGTTTGAAAAGCAGTTTGTGATGTGTGCTTCTGTGTATGAAATGGTTTGTCATTCACCTTTAATTCTGCCAGCTTGAACTGAATTCTTCCCAAGTGTTTTTCCACTGAATGTAGAATAAGCAGTAAATGCTTCCTACCTCAAAGGTGGAGACCTCAGACATATGATGAGACTTTTACTGACTGGCTTTGAAATTCTCTTATATCTCACCAACATCCATCGCTTGGAAAGGATAAAGCCCAAATTGTTGATTGCCATTGTTCTTGGAAGAGTGTTGCCTGTAATATTTCCTATTAAAAAGAGTTATTTTTTATTTCTCCTCCTTTGAGTTGATGAAAGCCCATTGAATTGTTCTGAATGAGCCAGGCAGTTGACTATTCTGCATAAAAAAATAAATGTTACTGACAGCTCTTTAGTTAAAATAATTAAAACTTTGGGACTTCCCAGCTCTTGCTCCCCCAAGGTTTCAACAACGAGGATTGGTTTTGCCACTCAAATACTCTGTTTTCTTATTTCTGTTGTGGAAAGGAAGAGAGAGCAGTTTTTTCACAGGCACATAGCAATGCTTTGAAGATGCTCAGCACTTTTACTCATGGTGAGCGTGACTCACTGCTCTCTTCCACCCACCATCTATAACCACTGATAACTTTTCCTTTATATGGTATTTTGGATAAAGCTATCTGAATAAAATCTAAATACCTATCTGCTTTAGTTACAGGCTACTGTGTTATAGATGGAGAATTCGTACCAGAGAGGCACATCTGTAATTTTACTGTGTTTCTGAAGTATAGTGAAGGATTACATTGCAGATAAGAATATGGCTGAGCTCTTAAATTGGGTAGAATTTACACACAGATGTGTATTTAGATCCAGCATCTGCTTCAGGGCCACTTCAAATCACAAGCAACTCACTGGAAAATTAGAGAGTGTCTGCTGGATTTACATGGTTTAAGACGAGCTGTAATCAAAGAGAGATTAAACCTGTGGAGGAGGATTTGGAAACATAGGGAAGAATGTCAGGCTGACATTGTGGAGGTAGAGTCCAACATGATGCTACAAACCACCTTCCAAAATGACTCCCCCAAAAGTTGGAGCAAACTGAATATTTGTGCAGACTAATGTCATTGCACTCTAGATACATAAATAGCTACAGAAAGTAATGTATTATCTAGGAAAGAATTCATTTCATATATGAATGTTGACCCAAGTGGAAACACTTGTCTAGTCAGTCTTCAACTGCAAGCCATCATGACAGGGGAAAATGTGTAACAGATTTATATACTTGTGGGGGACCTTTCGTAAATGATCTCCTTCCAGCTGATCTCAGGATCATGAATTTCTCCAGAGAAAATCAGTTTTAGGAGAAAGAAACTCATACTGTTACGGTAATTACAGACTACAAAGTGAAAGGCAAATGCTTGCAGTTCATAAAAAGCGTTTCTGGGAACTACATAACTAATAGGTGTTGTAGTTTCTTATCTATATCTCTGTGAGAGTGAGTGATATCTTTTAAATATACAGTATATTTTCAACAGGAAGATACCCTGACAAATTGTTTTCTTTCATTTATGAGAAAGAGGCTGGTTCCTTGACCTGTGCATGTTTAAATAGCTGACACTTTACTGTAAGCAGTGAAGTCCTTAAAGTTTATTTGTAACCTGTTGTCAGTTGCTTATCATTAGGCCTAGAGATGGCTCCATTGCACTGATCGAAATCCAGAGAACTCTGATGTTAGTGGTATTGGTGCAGAGTATGGTGGGATAAATAGAGTCTGGTCCATGCTGATTTACCACAATTGGAGTTATTAATAAAGCATAAAAGCTGCAAAGATGCTTTTGAATCCAAGAATCTGGATTCAGGGCTCTGCTCTGTTATGTCCCCTGTGTGATTTGGAGAAGTGAATTAAATCTCCATCTTTGGAGGTGTTTAGGCAGCTGAATACCTTTGAGGATTTGATCCATGTTCACCCCTGTATTTGTTTTTCTTCTGTTAAACTGATACATGCATACACTCTTGTGAGGTTGCTTGTTTTACCCATGAGGTGTTTCATCACTGCGGTTAGACAAGTCCTCACCAAATAT